TCACTTCCTTTCTCCACACTCTTTTGCTCTTCATCTCGCTCGACTCTACTGTAGTAACTAACTCACGTACATAGCATGTGTCGCCACTCTAATACGATACATATACAAAAATAATTAGTTAAAATTCCCAAAAAAAAATTTCCGCATACATACATATCAAGATGTGACCTATGTGTAAGATAAAATATCAAATATGGTGCATATAATAAAATTAGAGATAAGTTAAAGAATGATCAAAGATGTGTGCACGTACAAATATGAAATGAAAGTGAAAAACAAGCCCAGGAATCCAGTAAAAGTAAGATGACCAGGTGAAGTGTACTACAAAGTGATTATTTTTAGTTCTAATTACTACTCTATTGGATTACAAGAGCTTTTTCAACCTATAGCTCCCACCATTACTCCACTGTTTAAAAAAGCTTTTTCGTTGTCTTTGAGAGAGAGAGAGAGGTATTGTTTACATTCTTGGCTGCATAAAAAGCCAGGTTTTGAGACGTGCGGTTGGTCACGAATTTAAATTTAGCTACAAAGGTGGTGAGCATGAAACGGATGTGATCAGTGAAGGATTCAAAATTTTAATACTGGTGATTATAATAATCAAGATATGCTAGGGGCTAGTCGAACAGCAGGCTGGAGCTTAGCGTCTATGCGCCTAAATGAGGCTTTACAAAATGTTTCAGAAGTTGCATGAATTTATAGTGAATTTAAAAATAAAAAAAAATTAATGGTGTCAAACATATAGTATAAAAGGTATTAGTTGAATAACACTAATTAAAATGCTAAGTGGCACAATCTGATTGGGTAATAATTAAAAAAAAAGAAAAAGAAAAAGAAAAATGGAGAGTTGGTCAGGTGGGAAATGGAAAGAAAGTCTTTCTTCTTCGTTGGAACCAAGGTCCAAGGACAGCAAGGCCATGGGTAGTCTTCTCTGTGTTCCTCTTCATCTCAAATTAGATATTTCTTCTTGGTTCAAAGTTTTTGTTGCACATCATCTTCATAGCCATAATGGTCTTCTCTCTTCCACCACCTTCCCAAAGTGTTGGGTGGTCCTCAGAGGTCCTCACAGGCGACTTCTTCGGACCCTGGGTGATCCCGGGACCACCCAGGTCCATGAATGGGTCCGCCCTTGGATGTGATAATGTTTCAAACCAATTATGAAACATTGTGCGAAAAACTTAAAGCATCGACATTGTATTTTTGATCTGAAATACCATAGTGACGTCGCGAGAGATACAAGTAACATTCTTCCGAGTTTTGAGTTAAAGTAGCTTCGTTTAGTTAGGCTAAAAAACAAAATCATGCACTCAAATGTTATTGCACCAAGTATTCTCACTAACAATATTATCAGTTTCCGACAGCATTTGTTAAATATTTTATAAGATATTCTAGTAAGTTTCAACTTTGAACGATTCAAGCATTGTTTATTGTGAGATGTGTCAACTTCACAAGTAAATTCAAACAATTTTTTGTCTAACAATGACCAATTCACTGAACAAGAGCCGGCCTGGGCCAAGTTGATGACTGTATTAAGAGGCTAAAGCATATCATCTATAGATATTAATCCTTTTAATCATGGTTCTTGCTTAATTTAGCACTTTTTAGATATTATTAACCAAAATGTTCATCTTTGTTTTTCACTACTTAGGAACTTTGATTGGAAAATGCATGGTCCCAACAAATTAAAGTCTTAAACTTGTCCCGAGTCCAGGAAAAAAAATACATAAAACCGACGTGCATTCTAATCAATTCAAACGCTCATCTTCTTCTTTAGTGTAAACTAATATAAAATATCATTTGTGATATAAAAAAAAAAATATATATATATAAATATATATGGGTTGATCTGTGACACCTTTTTTTTACACAACTTTTGTTGGACCCAATTCATAATGTATTTAACGACCCGAACTATCTATCTTTTAGAACATCATCCATAGATCATCCTTGCAAAAAAATTAGAAAAATCCAAAATCATTAAGACATTAATTTCTAGTGAAGAAAATTGACAAACAACCTTGAATCCAACAGTCATATGGTTTCATACATTGGGTGATTTTAGTGGACATAATCTTTAAGAAAAAACCTAAAAGACTATTAAAATTGTTAAAATACATTGCAAAATATACTTCACAAAAATTTGTGTGAAAAGTTATGTAAAAAGAATGGCACACCGGATCCGTCCCATAAATAAAAAAAGAGAACCACAAAATTTTTAATGATAGATGGGGAGAAGAAAACATTTCTAAATGAGCCAACAGAAAAAGTCCACATCATATTTTATATTTGGAATTTTGGGAGCAATTAAAAAATATTCTAAAAACAGTTTATTTCTCTCTATAAGTTGGCATCATCGACATTCTCTAAAGGTTGCACAACACCTTTCATAAACCTGACCAAGCTCATCTTCAAGCAGCACACAGGCTATGGCTGTAGACCACCTATCCTGTGACCATGCAGACGATGACTACATCGACATGGATGTCGGTTCGTACTCCGCCTTCCTCAGCCATTCCATGAGCTCCCCTCCACACCCCAGAGAGTTTGAGTTTCAAATGTCATCCACTTCTTTGGAGAGGTATTCCCCCTCAACCTCTCCAGCTGATGAGCTCTTTTACAAAGGGAAGCTCCTTCCCCTCCAACTCCCCCCGCGCTTACAAATGGTCGAAAAACTACTGCAAAATTCCCACTCTGGTTTCGATCACCGAAAAGATATGTTTGAAGAATTCTATAGCACTCCATTGGCCACCACTGCCCCAACTCCAACCACAACTAGCACCCCATTTGAGTCCTGCAATATCTCGCCTTCGGACTCTTGCCAGGTTAGCAGAGAGCTGAACCCAGAAGAGTATATTTTGGAGTACTCAACTGAAGGGAGCGGCTTCATGAATGAAAACCCGAAAAAGTCTTGGACCAAAAAGTTCAGGCAGTCATTGCTTGGTTCAAAGCTGAAGGCTTCCCGGGCATACTTCAAGTCTCTGTTTGGCAAATCTAGTTGCTCGGACGAGTCCAGTGCAGCTGCTGCCAGGAATGCAGATGGAGGAATGGTTTTCAAATCTGAGGATTTAAGTAAATATGTGAAGACATCCAAGAAAACCCCATTTGGACAAATTCAGAGAGAGAAATACCGGATGTCTGCTTCTGGCGCGAGGAGCTTCAGCAAAGCCAAGGTCATTGACGATGGTCCTGGTCTCCACAGGAGATCGTTCTCACTGGCCATCAAACGGAATTCAACAAAGATCTCAACATCCTCTTCATCATCTTCGGGCTCTTCTTCATCTTCAAATCATTCCAATGGGACTCAGGAGCTGCAGTTTCTGAAGAGATGCAACAGTGCAAGTTCAGAAATTGAGAGTTCAATTCAGGGGGCAATTGCACATTGCAAGCAGTCTCAGCAACCTTTTCGTTCAAGAAAGACCGTCAGTGAAGTTGGGTTCTACTCATTGTCATCTTCGAGGATAGCAGCTTGTGAGGACCAAAGAAGACCAGAGCTTTGTAGGGGCTGAAGGGCTCTCAGTGAATGGGAGGGAGGGAGGGGAAAGTACAACTTTTGACTTGGGTTAATGATGTGTTGTTTTTTTCCTTCTTTCACAAATTTGTTAATGAATATGGTTCGGTTCAGTGCATGGCTGTAAGAAACTCCGTTTCACTTCTAAGACAAGACATCATGTTCTTCCCCTTTTTTCCTGACAACTGCTTCACTTCCAGCAAATTCCGTGGCTCTAGAATTCAACTAGCTAACAAGTTTTCAATTTACGAGCATGTGGTCCAAAATCCTAATGGAAAGGGTGTTGGGTTTCCACCCATGCGTCCTGGGTTCGATACTGACCATCTTTTAAGACGTCATAATCAAGTGAATTATGAAAGAAAAGATTGGTAATAATCCATGTCAAGGGTCTGAGATTCGTAAATTAACCCTGATGTTATTCAAGGAGTCGCCTGATGAACTCTCGGGATCAGTTTCACTTCCTCAAATGACTATGAATGAACAAACGAGAAAAAAAAGATCTTCCCAGCATCATATATGGATAGCTAATTAAATTCAACAGCCATCAACTCGATGAGCCGGCATCATTCCTTGATGATAGTTAACTGCAAAGTACCTTAGATTAGGCTAAGATCAACATCATTATGTCCCAGCCAATCACCAAACCAAGTTCCGAAAAGCCCACGTATCTGCCCCTCAAGAGTAGCCAGAAGACACCAGCCTCCATTATATACATTAACAGAAGAAAATGGTCCTTGGATCAACAAAGAAAACGTATTTACTCATTCTTACTGCATCACACAAGATTAATCCTAAAGCACGGTATAAATGAACAAAATTACGAACTCGACAAAGAAAAAGGGTACACGTTCAACAATTTAATATAACAGGAGTTCTTCAAGTGCAAGAAAAGAAAACAGCCTTTACTTTGGCTCTTGTTTCCTTCCCCTTTTCTTTTTCCAGATACTTCCCAGTGGGAAATATAAACCTTAAATTAAGTGAACATGTCAGCCAAAAATTTGACAGGATAAGAGCAAAAGAAAGCAACTAAAAGGTCTAATTGATGTTGTTGAGCACTATGGGTTACCAGATACCCATCTAACAACAGACCTTTTTCCCCACTCAAATTTTAATGTTAACTAGGAAAAAATAAAGAAATGGTAGGCCTTGCAGACCAGCTACATTGTTACATCAGCACAGCAGCCGCAAAGTTACCCCTAAAAACTAAGGTATATTTTTATCTTCGAGCCTATGGTTGAAAAGGTCAATAGCGCAAATGATCTTTCTTATCAAGTTCTTTTGGCTTGAACTAAGAACGGGCCTATGGAAGGTAGTGGATTTATCACCAGGCTGTCCCTATGACCTGAGAGATTTGGATATCTCCAATCCCTTGCATATCCTTTTATTGTGCTAGGATAATGATTATACCATAAGCACAAATATAAATATTCGCAAACATACAGAAATAAAGACAATTCCTACTCTTCATTTATCTTTTTTAAACCGCTAAATAAATCAAAATCTCCATATAGCAACAAACTGTACTAAAAAAAGAGGTAAACTAAGCCTGCCATGTATGACCATTGCAGCTTACTAACTCAACATCTCTTATCATTTTATTTGGGATGCACATCCGACTGATAACCAAAACATAATAACACACAAACCAGATGAGGAAGAATTTAAATGCACTGCAGACCTGTAACTTGTTCAAAAATCAAGTGCTTTGATTTCTCGGCATCCATCTTGATAGGCAGTTGCGTTCATCCTGACGGATCTTGCCATTTCCTGAACACAAACAAATTCAATCGTACACATGAACACAAACATTCGTACCCACAGTCAAAACATGTACACGCACGTACACAAACATGTATCTAGACAAATATCTACACACGCTATGTAGAGAACAAAGTCGATTCATTTGCCACTTACCGCTATTATGCAGGACACGAGTCAGTTGACTGCAGCTTGATAACAATCTGCCACAAAACAAACAGGACCAATTAACAAGCTATATCTTTCCCACAAAACATCAAAATCATAAACTACTATATGCGTCTCTACAACTAAAAAGTTCAGAACTTCGCTTTCAGTAACATGTCGAAACCAATTGCAATCCATACAAGGTATCAAATTAATCACCTTAGTTTTCTCATTGCTTCCAATATAATCACACAACCGTTTACTCCCATCAAGCACTTTCCCGGCCCAACAAAGCCGACTCGAATCCTCCCCGCCAAATTCAATGCCTGTAACTTTTCACATTGCAATAAAAAAACCAAGACTTCCCAATTACAATACACAATTCAAAAACTCAAAAAACAAAAACAGGGTTACCTCCCAATAGTTCCTGAAACTCAGAAACCGCTTTGAGCTCTCTCTCCAAAGCTTGTATGTGGTTTCTCAGTACATGGTAAGACAAAGGCTTATTGTATACAACCTGGTCCTGTTTTCAAAAACCCAGAATTTATCAGTGCGTTTTCGTTCTTGAAAACAATTCAAATTCAAATTCTTTGGTTTATACCTTGGAAGCGTAGGATTTGGCTTCGGATAGAGCTCTGAGGAGAGAAGCAGCTGCATTAGTAGTTAAACAAGTGAGTGGTTCAGAGATTAAGGATTAAGATTCGGATTAGTGGGTTGTAGGCAAAGTGATTAGGGTTTTTTGGGTTTTGTTAGAAGTTTGAACCTTTTGCGTCGCCATGGAGGAGGTCCAGACGAGGTTCGAGCTCGAGAATCAGGCGGTCGATCTTGGTTTGGAGATTGGAAATTCGGGAGATTTCGGGGGCAATCTCGTCAATTGGCGAAGTGCTTGCGCAGTCGTAGAGGAACTCCTTCTGTTCGGAGCCCTCGCCGTGCTTCACGTGGATTCGAACCATTTCCGGCTGGGAGCGGTCAAGTTTCAAAATGATCACGAATCACGATCGAGAAAACTCTTGTTGTGTTGTTTTACGTGGCATTATACAATTATTACCCTTAAATTGTTATTAAAAATAAGTTTTTTAGTTAAATTCATCCCTTAAATTGCTATAAATTTCCACTTTGAACCTCAATATTTAAAATAAATAAAAGTATTTTTTGAAACTATCGACTGTCAATCATTTTGGACATCCTATAAAAATCTCCGTTACGTTGTTTTTTCTGGTGAAAATACTGGTGAGCAGTGAATGCCCAGAGTGCTTTGGTAGAGTTTTCAATGCCACACACAGAGACTTTCAATACCCATGCAAATTGAACTTGACTTTGGGAATGCAAGATATCATATTGTCAAAAAGGATGTTGTAAATTTCAAATGTAGTAATACGACTTGCTCTATAAATGGAGCAATCGACTCGATTGCAATCAAAACATACATAAAGAAAGAAATCTCTTCCTCCATCTTTTATTTGTTATTCTCTTGTGCTATCGTTCTCAGTGTGACATTTTACACTTGCTTCGTTTCATTCACTAAAAATGTTATCTCTCTATCTTTGACATATTTATAACACGTTATCAGCACGAGTCCTTAAATATAATTATTTCTCATTCCTCTTCACCGAATGAAAATCATTTATCTTTGTCGAACGAAAGAAAAAATGTTCCCTCTAAGGTTTTTACTGTTCATCTTCTTCCTCTGGCTCAACTGCGCGGTATACCCTCGCGACGAACTGTTTGCTCCATGCCTGCTTCTAGTTCTCAACCTAACGGTTACATACATCTTTGATTTCTTGTTTGGTATAGATATTGATTACTAACCTAGTATTTATTTATGTTGATTTTACTGCAATCCAAGATGGTGTGGTACAATCGCCCATCTTGAACTACAAATTTCATCTTACTCGATCCAAGATGGTGCGGTATCATCGTCTATCTTGGACTACAGATTTAATTTTACTGCAAATTTTAGGTGGAGCGGTATAATCGCTCACCTTATCCTGCATATTTAATTTGCCTGCAGTTTAATTTCATTACAATTTTAGGTGGTGCGGTATAATCGCCCACACTGGTATGCGTATTTAAATTTTCCTGCTATTTGAGTGGTGCGGAATAATCGCCCATTTTATGTTACATTATTTCAATGAGAATGGTGCAGTACAATCGTCATCCTCATTCACCCCGAAAATCTCGAGCCAAAAGTTTCGAGTGCTTATCATTTTGGCCTGAAGATCAAAATGAAAAATTTGTAAGAAACAGAAGTTCTAATACTATATTCCTCCAGGAAAACATATTATTGCAAGTTCTTACACATCTCATTTTCTTTCAGAAAAGAAAATGGCGAACTTGGCGAAGCTTGATTATGCTGCCCTGGACATTATCGGGAAGAATTAACTTACTTGGGTACTAGATACCAAGATCCATCTGGAAGCAGAGAATCTTAGAGATACCATCAGGGAAGAGAGCAGCTCATCCTTTCAAGAGCGGGTGAAAGCTATGATTTTTATTCGTCGCCATCTTGATGAGGCACTAAAGAGCAAGTACTTAACGATTGAAGATCCGTTAACTCTTTGGAATGCATTGAGAAGCAGATACAATCACCAGACAATGGTGATTATTCCAAGAGCTCGCTATGAATGGACTCACCTAAGGATCCATGATTTTAAGTCAGTGGCAGAATACAATTATGCGTTGTTCAGAATTACCTCTCAGCTGAAGCTCTATGGGGATACTATTACTAAGGAAAATTTGCTGGAAAAGACTTTCAGCACATTTCATGCCTCTAACGTGCTCCTGCAACAACAATATAAAACACGAGGCTTCACTGTATACAAGCAGCTAATATCTGTGCTCCTAGTAGCTGAACAGAACAATGAGCTCCTGATGAAAAACCATAATTCCTGACCTACTGGATCTGCACCATTCCCAGAAGTGAATGCTGCTTCCCTCGAAGTGAACACCACATCCTCTGGTGGCGATAATCATAAACAAGGACGTGGCCACAAGCGAGGTCAGTAGAACAGGAAAGGCAAGAACCATGGTAGTCAGTTTCACAACCAGGCATAATTCAGGCCCCCCGAGCTTCAAACATATGAATCGCCACAAAGGCAAAGCTCACATGAACAATGCTCACAGGAACTCTGAAGGAACCTGCCATAGGTGTGGTGGCAATGGGCATTGGGCGGGTACTTGTCGTACCCCAAAACATTCTGGTGGATCTGTATTAAGCCTCCCTCAAGGAGAAGGGTGTCGAGACCAATTTTCTCGACCAGGCTAAACCAATGGATATACCTTATCAAGTGTGTGACTTATCAGGACAGTTGAACACAACTCACCCAGATGTTTCAGACTTCATTATGGAAATGAGGAATGAAGTGTATTGGTCTGACTAAATCGTTTATGTTTGATGTACTTTTATTATGTTGAACTTGTAATTCAAAACTAGCATTTCAGATTCAATAAAAGTGGCATATAAATTTCTTGTTATAACTTGCTTTTAACTCTGATTTCCTTACTTAGAAAGCATGGATAAAAACTATGGTCATTCTCAAAACATGAGAAATGGCGGAGACATTTGTCTTGTAGACTACGCAACTACGCATACAATACTTCGTGATCAAAAGTATTTCTTAAGCTTGGTGCTTACAAGAATGAGGGTAACAACAATATCAGGCAAATCAGATGTAATTGAAGGCTCATGGAAAGCCCAGATTATGTTACCAAATGGAAAAATATTGCCTATACAGAATGCATTGTATGCTACTCGATCCACTCAAAATTTGTTGAGTTTCAAAGACATACGTTTAAATGAATATTACATTGAAACGGAAAATGCAGAAAATGTGGAGTATCTATGCATTACCTCTAATGATACCCAGAAACGTATATTGGAGAAGTTGCGTTGTTTGTCGAGTGGATTGTATTATACATTCATAAAGACAGTTGAATCACATACTGTCATGAACCAGAAGTTCATTGATTCAAAAGTTTACATGATTTGGAATGATCGTCTGGGTCACCCAGGATCTACCATGATGCATAGAATCATTACCAACTCTAATGGACATTCATTATTGAGTAGGGACATTGCTATCACAAATGATAACCCTTACAAAGCTTATTCTAAAAGGAAGTTGGTAATCAGACCATGACAACTAAAGGTTGATGTTGAATCCCCATCATTTCTGCAAAGAATTCAAGGGGATATTTGTGGGCCTATTAAACCATCTTGTGGACCATTTTGATATTTTATGGTTTTGGTTGATGCATCTACCAGATGACTTCATGTTTGTCTCTTATTTACTCGAAATGTAGCTTTTGCGAGACTTCTTGCTCAGATAACTAAGTTACGAGCACAGTTCCCAGATTATCCCATTAAGTCAATCCGACTTGATAATGCTGGTGAATTTACGTCTCAAATTTTTTATGATTATTGCATGACATTGACCATTGATGTTGAACACCCTGTTCCTCATGTCCATACTCAAAATGGATTGGCAGAAGCATTGATCAAACGGCTTCAGTTAATAGCCCGCACTCTACTTATGAAAACAAAATTGCCAGTTTTTGCATGGGGACATGTCATCCTACATGCTACATCATTGATTCGATTGAGACCTATAGTCAACCACTAATACTCCTCAATACAACTAGTGTTTGGACATCAGCCAAACATTTCACATTTACTAGTTTTTTGTTGTGCTGTTTATGTGCCTGTTGCACCCCACAACGCACTAAAATGGGACCTCAGCGTAGAATGGGAATTTATGTGGGTTTTGATTCACCATTTATCATTAGATATTTGGAACCCTTGATAGGTGATGTGTTTATAGCTCGTTTTGCTGATTGTCAATTTGATGAGACAATCTTCCTGTCATTAGGGGGAGAAAAGATCGTTCCAGAAGAACAGAAAGAGCTAACATGTGTTGTTCCCACCTTGTCTCATTTTGATCCTCGAAGCATTCAATGTGAAAATGAAGTAAAAATGATCGTTCATCTTCAAAGCATTGCCAATCAAATGCCAGATGCATTTAATGATGTTATGAAAGTGACAAAATCACATATACCAGCTGCAAATGCACCTGCCAGAATTGATGTCCCTGTTGGACAAAATAAAGTGGCAGCGAATGATTCATCTAGTGCACACCTGAAGCGTGGTAGACCCCCAGGTTCAAAAGATTCAGCTCCTCGAAAGAGAAAGACAAGGGCACAGCTGAATCCAAATGAAATCATTCAGGAAGAGAAAACAAATGACAAATATACAATTCATGATTCTGGACTTCCAGAAGAAGAAAATGTCTTTGATGAAACACATTTCCCTGAAGAGACAGAAGTACATGAAAGCAAAGAAATCTCCATAAATTATGCATGTACTAATGAATTGTGGGATTGGAATGAAATAATCATCGACGATATGTTCGCATTCGCAGTAGCCACTGAAATCATATTAAGTGATGATCTTGAGCCCCGTTTTGTTGATGAGTGCAAACAGAGACAAGATTGGCCTAAGTGGAAAAATGCAATCCAGGCATAATTAAATTTCTTGGAAAGGCGAAGTGTTTTTAGACCAATAGTCCAAACCCCGCCTGGTGTAAACCCCGTGGGTTACAAATGGGTATTCATAAGAAAACGCAATGAGAAAAACGAGATTGCAAGATATAAAGCACGACTCGTTGCACAAGGTTTTTCACAAAGACTTGGAATTAATTATGAGGAGACATACTCTCCTGTAATGGACGCAATTACGTTCCGTTACTTAATAAGTTTAGCGGTTTCAGAAAAACTTGACATGCAACTTATGGATGTCATCACCGCGTATCTATATGGAGAATTAGATACTAACATATATATGAAAGTCCCAGAAGGACTTAAGTCGCCTGAAATAGCTAACAAATCACGAGGTATGCTCTCGATCAAATTAAGGCGATCATTGTATGGGCTGAAACAATCTAGACGAATGTGGTATAATCGTCTCAATAAGTATTTGATCAAAGAAGGATGCATCAACAATGTCATTTACCCTTGTGTGTTCATTAG